CATTCAAGCAGGGGAATTGTAAATGCTGAAGTCTAAATTGTCCATTTATATTAAGACCGAGCTATTCAAATGACCTATTTATTATCTACTGCTGGGAGGACACACCTTTTGTGGTTTGAAGGCATACTTTAAAAAAAGGCTCCACCGTGAGTAGTTATTATTGTAGTAGACAAGGAAGAAACATTCAATCTATTCAGCACTTCCAGAGAGGGAGTGGCTCAAGGGTTTCAATTCAAACTAGGTACATTAAACATAGTATAGGCTTAGCGTACCATTACTATTTGCTTGTTTGTTAATTTGGCTAGTTCATACCAGCAAGTTCTTTCATCACCAATAAGTTCTCAAAGTAGCTAATAAAATTCATATCAGGATAGGCAACACATAAGCACACCATTTCTAGACTGTCGGCACCCAAAATCATGGCACCAAAGTGACTGAACTTGATTGACATTTCAACAAGCATTAAGAAAGTTCCCAAATCATGTCTCAATGGTCAATTTTGGCCTATTTCTTTGCATGGTAGCAGAGTTTAAGGATAAGAATGAGAGGGAGAAGTCTCAGAGGAAAACTACTGCCATTGACATTTTTAAAGCCTTTCAGAAAACATCCCAAACAAAACAGCAGCCAAATGTTATTTCTGATTCTTCCAATGTTACATCAGTATATCAATAAATGTCCTCCATTGCTCTTCTAAGGGTTTGGAAATTTTGATTGCTGCCCTGATCCCTTAAATATAGCCTGCCCCTGCTTTAGATATGAGGTCATGGGCAAATTAAGACTTTAAAAATTCCACTTAGTATTGTTCCAAATTTACAATTGACTAACAGTGTTGATCTCTGAGTATCAACACCAGCATCAAGTAATCCCTGTACTTCACAATGGTGAATCCCTGTACGTCACAATTTTGAATTTCTAGTTTTTAGCCTTTTTTCACATTAGCTTAAGATAACATATATTAGTCAATATGAATTATTGTGTGGATTATTATTCCCAAAACTGATTTGCTCAGAAGTATCCCAGCCAGTGGACTAGGTGTATCTATATGAAAGGTGTATTTGTCACAACCGCCAGCTGCTCAGCAAATCAAGTAACATCAAAATTCCAAATTGGACCTGCTCTTTCAATCAGAATGTTTTTTCTGCTCTAAAGTAACTAAACTTCAGTTTTTGAGTCCAGTTTCCTATTCACTATCAGCACTTCTACTTTCTTCTCCTTCAATCAATTCATTATTAAAGTGGGCAATGTTTGGGTGGGCAATTGTAAAGAGCAGTATTGTAGAGTTGATATCTCAATTCTATGATAATGATACCTCCCTTCAAAGGTCTGGATGCCCTCCCTCATTGAATAACACTAGGGAAGAGAAGATGAAAACTATTGAAAAACATCCATATTCTGAGCAGTGGTCACCCAGTCTCATTCTTCTGGATATAAGTGAAAAGAGCCTTGTCAAAAACTGTGCCCATTAAACAAAATTTTGTCAAGCAACCCAGAAGGATGCAACAATGGTACTAAAAGATACTAAAAGCCTCCAGAAGTCCAATATGCCCCATTATACCTCCCCTATTAATTTTATGGAAGTGTTCATCTGCCATTAAGGTGACTGAAGCAATATCAATATAATCTGAGCTGAAAACCCAGTTTTGTAAAACTCAGTATCAATGAAAATAAAACAATTGTTTTTGCAACTGAATTTTGAAGAGAAAGCTTTGTGGTTGGCAAAATCAAAGTCTGGTATCCAAATACAGCCTGCCTATCGATATTTGGTTGCTTAAACTCTATTTAAAGTCATCTAATTAAACCAGTAACCTAGAGATCTTTACCATGAAGGTACTGAAAGATTGCTCGTGAAGGAAAGTAATATACAATCATTCTTGAATGCATCTCAGTCCATCTCTGTTCTTAGCTCTAGTTAAGAAAATATCTAACCAATTGCTACCTTTACAAGATTAAAATAGCCTGAGCATTTTCATTATTTCCAAAACAACATCAAAGGACGTCCTGCTTTTGGTCTGTGTTTCATGCTTACATACTTGAGTTGGTCTTATTTTTCCACATATAAAAGGTGACAGAGAAGTCTAAGAATGCATTCTTATTTCTGACTCTGTGCCTGGAGTGATCCAGCAGTCTCCCAGAAAAAAGAAAAATGTTCTTGAAAGTGTGAGGATATATACCCCTGCTGCTAGGATTAGCTGCTATACAGGACCACTAAATCAGATACTCCAACCTTAATAGGATTACTCACTTGGGAACACCAATCAGCTCAATACTCAGCAGCAAAGCATCTCTCTTTGCTGACTGAGATACTGAAAACTTCCCCAAACATGAGACACAGTCGCTTTCAATTGAAAATGTCATAACAAAAGGGGATTTGATGGGCATTTGGTTTGGATATGCTGGCAGGGAGCAGCAAGAGCAGTTTGATCTCCTATTGTGTTTGGGTGGATTAAATCCATCTTTCTTGTGTACAGGCCACATGAAACAGCTCTCCTGCGCCTTTGCAAATGAGACCCTGAATACAAGAGCTTAAGGGGAGATGATTGAGATGAACTGAGCCTATTTCACTTTGTTAGTATTCTGTATTTCAATCAAAAATCGCACCATGCAAAATGCGAACATCATTATTCCAAAGATTTTTTTAAGAGAAATATATGCCTAGTTTTCCTCTTTTCTAGTCCCAAATCTGTGAAATTGACTGTCCTTCTCAGTTTCAAAAAAAGGTGGTGGGTTTTTGGAGGCACTATATAAATTACTTTTGGGGATCTTGTTCATTCAAAATATATCACACCAGTTACAGTACGAAAAATGGCAGATTGTGTTTTGAATGAACAAAATTTTTAGAATGATTGTGGTTTTTTTCCTAGCATTTTATTAGCTTCCTTCTCCCTTCCTCCCATCAATTCCTCCCTTCATCCCATCAATTCCTCCCTTCCTCCCATCAATTCCCCCCAAAAATTAAATACTGATACAGCTTTAAAATTAATGGGGTATTGAAAAGGAGCATTCTCCACATGGTTTTGTTAATGCAGCAGAGCCCCAGTGTCACAAACTAGTAGATTTATAGTAGCAGCTTACAAAAGGAGAAGCAGAGGGAGGAGGAGAATCTCAACAGATAATCTCAATAGTATGAATAGTAAAGTTTAATGCATTTGTATTAATAGGTCTGATATCTTTGAACAGTAAATTTGTCAGTGTGAGTATCTGTGTGAGAGAGGTGGGCATATGAATCTATAGGGGTGTGTGTGTGTGTGTGTGTGTGTGTGTGTGTGTGTGTGTGTGTGTGTGTGTGTGTGTGTNTGGGTGGGTGGGTAAATCTGTTTTTTTTAACTCACTTTTGTCCGCCTGTGGGAACAGTGAACCCCTGAAAGAGCTACATTGGGTTTTCCATGAAGAATGAAGGCACATATATATGTGTCCCAGGATAACGTTGTAAGATCAAATCTGGGTTGGTCACCGGGACGAGAGGTTCACTCTTCCGAGTTTTCGGATTTCTGCTGGAGCCCATCCTCAGGGAATTCCTCTCTACTGGAATAAAGGTAGTCCTTGACATAAAACAGTTCTGTTGAATTCTAGAACCGTTGTAGAAACTGGATCACACTGTTGAGACTCTTCCTCGTACCCGGGAACTCCAGTAGCCCCATACCTATCATCATGCTGATCCCGTGGAATCCCTCCTTGAGATGAACCCAGGTGACAGGCACACCGTTGTCTTCCAGCCTCTTCTTGTAGAGCAAGCCATCGTCTCGGAAAATGTCGTATTCGCAGGTTAAAAGGAAAGTCTCTGGAAATTTCTGGATGATGGCATCTTCCGCCAAGAGTGGGGAAAATGTGGGTTCGAAAATTATTTGGCATTTTGTGAAAAGTTCTTCTGAAACCGGACCAGGTACAAATGGCACGTAACCCCGGCTTTTAAATTCTTCCGGAATGAGTTCTACATTGATCCAGTTCTGATACTTTCTCATGAATTCCTGGGGAACGTGGGCATTGGCCATAATCTCATTGGCTCTGTCCCTCCTTCCTGAGATATAAACTGTGCCATGCCGAATGGCTAGTTCCTTGGTTAAGAGGGGAACGGAGCGATTTTGCTGGTAAGAAGGTAAATTAAAATCCAGACATTGGAGGAAAGGGTAGAGTAGGATGTGTCCCCGGAGCTGCGGCAGGTCCTTCGTTGTCACAAGTTGCTGAGCAATGCTGGCAGCAATTGTGCCTCCGCTGCTGTCGCCGGCTAACACAATCCGCTTAGGGTCCACCCCGTAGTCCTGCGCATTCTTCAAAAAGTGCGCTACGGCGGTGTAGCAGCTGCGTTGTTGAGCTGGATAGGGGTGCTCCGGTGCCAAGGGATATCTGAAGCAACAGGGAGTCAAAACAAAATATTTCAAATGCATTGGCCTTCCTATCCTCCTCCTCCTCCTCCTCCTCACCATCATCGCCCAGTCATCCAGATGTTCAGACTGGATTTGGCATTTTGTCTACCTATCGAGTCCTTACCAAGGATCTGGGATAGAGTAATGAAGCAATGAAGCAATTGACGTGATATGCCAGGGCCTCGAGGCTGTTAGGGACTGGATGGGGGTTAACAAGCTTGTACTC